TCCAGAGTGCTTTCTTCCCTGCTGAAATTCCAAAATTTGATGGTCCGATCCAGGGAACAGGTGACAAGCTTGTTGTGATCGTGGCGGTTCCAGTCGATCCCATAGATTTTCGTTCCGTGGGCTTCAATGGTGCGCACGGGATATGCACCATTTCGGTCGTCCCAAATGTGGAGGAACTTATCGTGAGCGCTGGCAACAACATGTTCGTCTTGTCGGCTCCATTTGACCTGGGTAGCACCGGCAAACCAGTCAGAGAAGGAATTGACGGGTCTCGCTGGAGCGCGCAGATCCCAGCTGTGCACAAAGCTATCAACGGCGCAAGTCGCAAGGACGTCAGGATGATGGGCGGAAAAGTTGATGTCGGTTATTGCTCTAGTATGGCCGTGCAGGACGAACTCGATAGGATCCTGCCATGATCGAGCATCCAGATTCCAAACCAGAGCCTTTTGGTTCGACGTACTGACCACCCAATAATCCCTCACAGCGAACGGAGACCACTGAACGTCAGCAACCTCCCAGGGCGTCCGGTGAGGGAGGTAACGCGGTGGAGAGTAGGGAGAATCCAGGTCAATGATATGAAGTCCCTCTTTGGAGGCCAATGCAACATCACGGCCGCTTGGGGAAATGGTCATGGATCCCACGGGCTGCTCGAGTCTGAAAGATGCATCTTGGCCGAAGGTTTCGCTCTCGAAAGCGGAAGCTGGACCTCGAGGTGCCATGTCTGCGAGAAGCCCCGCTATTCCAGCCAGATATCCGGGATCCGTGCTCAGTATCCGTCTAAAACTCCTGTCGACGGACGGCGAGGGAATGAGGATCCGCCAAGGGCGTGAAGCAGCAAACTGGAAGCCTGCATCTCAAGTAGCGACAGCACTAAACGCGTCTTGAGATTGTGCTCTGTTGGTTTGGTAGGAGGCCAGTCCGCATCAGTCCGAGCATCAAAATCTCAAGAGCACCAAGTGACAGAAGCGGAGCTGACGGTTATGCCAAAGTCCGCACAGCTTACTGAGTACAGTATGTCAGAAGCGAGCATGGCACGCGAGGGTTGATATGTATCTATCTACGAGGTACAAAGGTAGCAAGCGTCGTGGTTCGGAAAAGCCTTGCTGGCTCGAATGCCAAGATTCGTTACATAATACATCAGTCAGCATGGACATGATCAGATTAGCACGTGAGCTTGGCACTCTTGGCAAATCAGGGCTGATAAAGGGGCATCGAGCCTTGTTGAGAACTCGGAGAGGTGCGCAAGACAGCCTCGAACGACATTGGACCCTGTTGGGAAAATAATTTAGGTGCTGGCTACACTGCTGTTACTTAGAGACCTGTCAAAACACCGTGTGGTCAACTTTCAGGCGTTCTTTGTCTCCCTAGAGATAAAACTTGAATGATGTTTAGTGAGACACCCAGTTGTCTCTGCCCTGCATAAACTAGAGCCGTCTTGGATCATGGACAGCGGGTAGAAATTTGTACTTCTCTGTGCTTCGGTGATGTGGCGCTCTGGCAGTCTTCAGTTGCCCCTCATGGGTAGGTTGAGCTGCCCTGGGGGTACTTACATTCGAGCTACACTCAATAACAGGGACTTGCTTTACGAACGGTCCTGGTGGGTGACTGTGTAAACATGTAGATATATGAGCTCTTCTCGATATTCACCCATCCTGTTGATATCCAGCTCCCAGCGCATCTAGAGCTTCGAATCACGCGGTCTTGTCGTACTAGAAGATCCGCACAATGTCTGTGGGATGCGTTCGCAAGCAGCAATGAGCTCTGCACCAGTGTGACAAGCGGCATAGACGAATCGGTCGGGGCGGACCAAAACGTACTTCCTCCCTCCCATGTCCTTTTTGATCCGATACATGTCGTACCCTGTCGGGTAAGGCCGGTTCCTACAAAGGTCTGACACGGCGAACTCGTCCCCAGTCGCTATGCGATAAACGCTCTGCTGGGGGACATCCGACGAGGTGCTTGCTGGGCGATTCTCGAGCAATGGAGAATGGACGAGGAAGAAAGCGGAATCTTTGAGGACTTCATTGTTGGAGGCTTTTTCAAGGTCCAGGGTTTTGAGTTCCAACCACGCTTTCTCTGCTTGCTCCATATTATCGATCACGACAATAAGCCGTAGGAGCGCGTTGCTTCTTGGATCATGGAAGAAAACGTCGTCTGTAAAGCGGACATTTGCTACCAAATTTCGGGTCAGAGGGAACGCTGGACAACAGTAGACTTGTGGGAAACAGCGTCCGCCCGCTAGATCGGGAAGGAACGCCATCCCGGTGTTGAATGCGTATCGGTTCATGCCGTATGCACGAGGACCCAATTCGAGCTTATGTCTGGAGCTGGGGACAAGCTGCATCAGCCATAGGATCCAGTCCCGGAGAAAGATCTTCGTGGGATTCCGGGCGGTGGTGAGATTTCCGTTGGCCACTGTAGCAGCAAGTGAGTGGTCTAGCTGCTGCTTTCGTTCCAGGAACCATCCATTGAAAAGCGTTTCAAAGCTTCCATCGAAGTCGGGTCGACAAGCTAGTGCGAGCCTCCATGCAATCCCTGAAGCGTCTCTAAATCCTGAGACAATTCCTTGGCCGCCAACTACCTTTGTCAATGTGGAACTCAGTTGTAGGTATGAACCACGTACATGGAGGCATAACATGGGCAGCATCACCGCATAGTATCAGTCTTCCGACAGTCCATTTGTTGCAGCTTCTAGCAGCAAAGGTGAAAGGTCTCGACCGCAGAACGTGGATACAATCCAGGGGGTATTGCACAGCATCTTTCAAACTAGTCAAGTTTGATGTGGGTGGTGAGCAGAAAGACGCCACTACATGGAAATTGAGGAGCTTACCCATAATCAGCGCCCGGGTGTGTCAAGTATGGTAAGACAATCTCAGACGTCTTCTCCCAAGTAGCCATCTCCTGCGGATCCTCCCCTTGGTCCACCACGAATTCAAACCGCCAGAGTCTATCGCTCCGTGGGCCGAAGCTTCCGCAGACAGAGGGCCTCTCAGGATTGCCAATAAATCGAAAGTTTGGTGGAAAGAATTTATCGTAGACTTGTTCAGGGGTGTAATTCAGTTTCCAAAGGGGAAATCCTGGGTGTGTCTCTGGCGTGGGGAGATCCATGTGCCAGTTCATCGCAACCCACGTCTCCTGATACTCGTAGCTAGCATCACGTCAACTTTGCTTGATGTACCTGTTGCAATAAACATGTCTCACCCGGACAGTGTTTGGAGGAGGACACCTTTTGGTTCCAGATAGCGTTTACGTGTAAACCCGGTTTTACCATCTGCTCCCACGAAGAACTTCCCCCGAATGGTGTGCTGGGTGCCATTGTTGTCGATATACTGTGCTTGGACAGAGTCCTCATTCTCTTCTATACCCACAATGGTCGACCCAAGCCGCAGCTGTGAGCTAGGGCAGCTGCTCGCGGCCATGCGGAGATGCTTTTCCATTACAGGCTGCTTGTGGGCGATAGCAGCAACATGGCCAGTACCTCCTTCGGTGGAGTTTAAATTCATTTTCATGAATGGCTTGGTCATGAGCCCATGCTTTCCAGAGGTGAATAATGTCCATCCAATGTGTTGTCCAATCTCGCCGTATATCTGCTCGTACAAACCTATCTCCTGGAGTAGTCGAATTCCATCCTCATCCAGAGCAATTCCACGAGGATCGGTCACGATGTCCTTCTCTTTCTCCAATACTACATTCTTGACGGACATTCGACCTAGGAGCGCACTTAGCAATGCCCCAGTAGGGCCGCATCCACATATTATCACATCCGTGGTCTCGGGACCCTCATCTTGTTGCTGTGTTGCCATTTATTGGTGTCGCTATGTGGTAAAGGCCCAAAAAAGAAGTAGAGTCGGACAGAAGCACGTAGGAGGATGAGTTCTTGCTTAAGTAGAGTCTTCCACCAAGAAATGAATCTAGATTTTCGCAACAGTGTCCTAACACAGACAACAGAGTGCCGACCTGTGGACTAAGTATGAATAGTGGGTCAAGAATTCCCACTCAATTGTGGTGGCATGTCCCAGTGGTGACCGGACCATGAAGGAACTGCTATGTCTCCAGGGCTGGACTGAAGGTCAGATCCGCCATGGTGCACTGCACCCAAGTCAAGTCTCATATGATGGTGTTCGCCCAATGGTGGGACAGCCTTCTCGTATCGGTCTACCAAGGGATACAATTGTGTGCGGGACGCTAAAATGCGGGGCGATATTGGACGTCTGACGGGGCGGTAAGGCTGTCACCGTGCATAACGATATCCAAGGAGCTGCACAGCGTCGTGTTCCATACCCATATTGATTGTAGTGCAGTCCGGCGGACTTTCTGATGGGAGACACAAGTAGCTCTTTGTCCAAGGCCAATGGAGGGTTCGCAATTGCATGTGAGGTGGACCCGGTTCAGGACTTCACGTCGAAATGCGCGGGAGGAAGGCTAGTGACTAGGCAATATATCGTTGCTGATACACACATCAACAGAGACAAAACAACGAATGCCAGTGTAGTCAACAATTGACCTCCTACGAGGTGAGGAAGTGGTGACGAGAGAGACAATTGGATGAAGGAAATATCGCAGCAGTAACATGAGGCGAGTCATGCTCCACGGATGAAATACCGCTGCCAAGATTTTCCCCGAGTCATGATGTCTGGATGGAAACCGCAGTTGACTCCAAGCGGTATCGACCTTCAGGTATATCAATCAGAGTGACTCAAACGACGGTGACTGCCGATTGCCTTAGCAAAGCAGCCACAACCCTGTGTCAATAACTTATCTCAGGCAGCCGTATACCCCACCGTTGACCTAGACACCATCTTTCTGCAGACACTGTCCCCTCACCTGGTGCGAACTGCCGTTCCCAGATCCTTTCAGCCTCCATTCCACGACTTATTCCCCGGTTTGAACTCCTTCTCCGATCCTACCTACGGAGAGATTGAGAGCTGAGCTCTCCGACACTGTCCTGGTCCAGTTCTCTCAACGCGCCCTCTGCGGCCTGTTGAAACTTTACGTTCGTAATGGCGCTGCCCAAGCGAATCATAAAAGAGACGGAGAGGTTGATGGCAGAGCCGTACGTCCCATCCTGGCCCTAGAACTGACTTGGGGTCCATCTAAGTCTTTCAGTGTCCCTGGGATAAGCGCGGTGCCCCATGAAGACAATCTGCGATACTTTGATGTCAGCATACATGGTCCATCACAATCTCCATATGAAGGTATTGAGCATCTTACCGCAACACGATGTCGTCAGGACTGATTCTCTGCAGGAGGTGTCTTCAAGCTCGAACTATTCCTGCCAGACGACTACCCGATGACCCCTCCCAAGATCAGATTTCTGACCAAGATATACCATCCCAACATTGACAAGCTCGGCCGAATTTGCTTGGATGTGCTGAAGAGTGAGTAATTCTGTCCTTTGGGCTGGACTAAGGCCTAACCTCTGTCAAGGCAATTGGTCGCCTGCGCTTCAAATAAGAACCATTCTCCTTTCCATTCAGGCTCTGCTAGGTGCTCCAAATCCGGATGATCCTTTGGCGAATGATGTTGCTCAGCGATGGAAGGAGGACCAGGAGGCCGCGATCCAGACAGCGAGAGAATGGACCAAAACCTATGCCATGCCATGATTTGAACGTTCCATTTTGATGACCGGCAGCAAGGAAAGAAAGGGTTGTCGAAAGAGAGAACGCGATGAAGTTGTGGCACGGAACGGAACGAGTGACGATCTGAGGAGCCTGGAGCCTTCGCCCTTGACGCAACGACCAGAGAAGAATGGCTCTTGCCTTCAATTCTCTCAGCACGATGAATACTACTATCCCCATGATGAATACAATTGAAGATTCTTTGGTTTGAGGCTGTTTACCATCCACCGTGGTGAGTCGGGCTCTGGATTGTTTCTGTGCTTGTCTTTGAGGTGTCTGTCGTGGCATGTGTGCTGTGTCGTCCGCTGTTGTTCGTCCCTCTCTTGCGGACAGAGTGCTTGTGGTCCATCTCGGTCTTTGTCGTTCTTGATATGCCGTCCATCCTGATCATCGATTGCCGATCTTGACATGCGTTCCACCCAACACGGCGACATCATCGCCCCGGTGAAGCGACTGGAGGCTGATGCGCGCCATTGGTCGATTTTGTACCCGTCGCTGAAGCTCGGCGGGAACTGGAGCAACATATTTCTGTCAAGAGCGTTGGCCCAAAGACACGCTGTTTTTTCCCCTTTCACATCAACACATATCACAGACGTCCACCATGGAGCAGAGCCGGTGGAGTCTGGACTCTGACGAGATAGCCTCGTGCCTTCCCTCGCGGCCATCAACGCCGCAGTCTGTCAAGGCTCTTCTTCGCTCGCCGGGGTCCCCCTTAAGGACTCTGGGGAAGAAGCTGAGCCTGACGGGCTTGTCTGTGCGGAGTCGGAAGACTTCGCCAGATGGAGGGAAGGGCACGAGGCTGAAGAATCACGTGAGTGATTCTTCACGTCCTGGTCCTGGTTCTGTCGCACCCCTCTACAACCGACGTAGAGGAGGGTCTTTTAGGCCCTTGTCTGTTGTTACAGGGAAGCCGTTTGAATTTGACGTGAATCTGGCCCTGGACATTGTCCGAAATCACCCAAATTCCTCCTGTCCGAACAGCGACCCAGTCAAGCACCCTCCCTCCACCGACATCATGAAGACTGCACGAGACGATGAGAAGACCATCAAACCTGCCCGATCTCTCATAATGTTACCGCCAAACCACTCCACCCAACCTCACGCCATGCCACTCTCATCTCCTCCACAAAGTACCAACAAAGGCAGACTCCCCGTGCAGAAGCAGCACACAGTCATCGAAGCACCCTTTTCCCATCTGACGAGAATCCCTGCACCAGACATCAGTCAGCATCCAATGAACCAGCCTAATCCCTTTACTTCCACCAGCGACGCGCCTTCCCTGATCAGCACGACCAAGAAAGAGGAAATCAAGCGACTGGTGAAAGAGGCCAGACGACGATTTGACGAAAAGGAACGCGAAGCTGAGCGCGACGAGGTTGAACGCGAAAAGGCTGAACGTGAAGCTGATCTGCAAAGCAGAATCAAGTTCGACACAGTGCCGATGCCTGGAAACGCGTTTGTTAGAGGGAACTACGATAATGGCAAAATCCAAGACAACCCATTCAGTGCGAAGGCAGTTGGCGCCGCAGACTCAGCCAGCCCAAACACTCCAGAGCCGTTTGCTTGCCGACCCATCGCGCCTCGTCCTGTGCCACGAAAAAGCTCTGACACAGCGAACACTTACAATCTCAGCAACAACCTGTCAGCGTTCCAACTTGGTGCCGAGAATGTCCAGAATGACCTCTTCACCGTCTCCACTGAAGGTTCACCAATGGCTGGCACATCCACCCCGGGCAGGGCTACTGTTGGTAGCAGCAAGTCGGTTGTAACACCACTTTCAGAGGGACTTGAGCACAAGAAGACTGGTTTACGCAAAGTCACCGATCTGTTCAAGACAAAATCCGAGAAGCCTCAGCCCGACTCTGCCTCGCCACAGAACACTGACATGCTTCACCGACCTGATCTCGTAAGTTATGGTCACTAATCCTTGGTTATCGTGGCAATGTGAAGTAACATCAAGGTCTAGGAACGTTACTTGCGCACTACCACCAACAATCACAGCTACGATTATGATCAAGGACAGCCATATTCGCGTCATCCAAACACAAGCCGGGCCTGGCACTCTCGCAATCTCAAATGCACCACTTGCCTCGACCACTGCTGTGCTGTCTGCGGTCGCGCATGCTGTGCCTACAAAGCCGCTGCACTGGCCGTCAAGATCCACAAAGACAACCCAGAATCGCTCAAGATGGCAGAAGAGAGACTCCTCCAGATCGCTTTCCTCTTCCCATATGGCCAAGAGGCACCTACTTTCCTCCAATGCACCAAAGGTGGCGAGATCGGCTGCGGCAAGATGGTCTGCCCGGACTGTTGTGGAGAATGCCCCAATCCGATCTGCAAGGACATCCAGTGCCGAAAATGCAAGAAGAACCCGTGGGCGGAATGCTTGTGGCATGATGAGGATATGAATCGCCGCGCTCTATGAAGAGTCAAGACAAGGGTGTACAAATCAAGTTTCAAGGACATGAAGACGAATAATGCTGCCGGGATTTGGGATCCTAGTGAGCTTCTCTTGGATGACAGGACATCAGAGAGCACCCCCTGTGATAACATGACAAACGTGTACAATTAGCTGGAAGCCTACCCATTATTGGAAGTAGGGCAATGACTCGAATGATCGATCTCGCCAGAGAGAGACAAAATGAATGTAAACAACAGAGACTGATGGTACCTCATGAAGAATATCAAGAAAAAGGGGCCTCTGAAGCACGTGACAATTTCAATGACACTGCGCTAATTGTGTTCTTGCTCGAACGTAATAATGATGGTTCTTGGCATTAGCTAAGGCGCGCACACTGCAGAATTGCAACTCCGCCGCAGACTATTGAACGCCGACTGCGTTACCAACTTTCCATCCCACTCAACGAACCATCGAAGACTAGGTACAGCATCAGTCGAACGTCAAGATGCGTACCTACGACGACACCTTCAGCGCCACCAAGATCTACCCTGGCAAGGTCAGTATCCCTGCGCCCACTTTGGCCTCGAGCCTCGCGGGAGAGCGAGACCTGGACGAAATTTCGCAACATTCCCCATGACACGCTCGTTCCCCTTGACAAGCCGAGTCTGACACGTTTAACAGGGCAAGCTCTACGTCCGCGGCGACAGCAAGATCTTCCGATTCCAGAATGGCAAGACCGAGTCCCTTTTCTTGCAGCGCAAGAACCCAAGAAGAATAGCCTGGACCATGCTCTACCGACGTATGCACAAGAAGGGTATCTCAGAGGTTAGTCTCGAATCAAACCCGTCGTTTTGCCTATGGCGGAACACCGCGAGATGGGTCCGGGCATATTGAAAGAAATATCGAAAAAGAGGAGGGACGGCCAAAATGACCACTCGTCTCTCACCCCGCACATTTCTACACGACACCTGTATCACTAACACGCCTTGCACATATAGGAAGTCGCCAAAAAACGCACCCGCCGCACGGTAAAACACCAGCGAGCCATCGTGGGCGCTTCCCTCGATGTGATCAAGGAGCGCCGCTCTCAACGCCCAGAGGCCCGTGCCGCAGCCCGTCAAGCAGCGATTAAGGACGCCAAGGAGAAGAAGGCTGCCAGCGAGAGCAAGAAGAAGGCCGAGAAGGCGAAGAGTGCAGCGAACGCAGCGCGGGGTCAGATCACGAGCAAGCAGGGCGCCAAGGGTGCACCGAGCAAGGTGCAGGCCAAGAGCCGATAGACGGTTACGGTTTTGCGGTGGTTCAGTGCGTGTGGGCGGAGATGGAGGCCTGAAAGGGATACGAGGGAGTCATTATTTCTTTCGCGACGAAAAGCAAGGCAGAAACCCTGGCAAATGGCTGGTGGGAACCTTCGCAGTCAGTTCGATGGCGTCAATTGAAAATGTGGCTCACACGAAATTCCGACGAGATGAAATGTGCTCCTCTCAATAAAGAGGCGCTGGTTGCTCGTCTTGCTGCAACGGCACCCACGTTGTTGGCGCGGCTCGGTGAAATGAGTGCTTAAAAAATAGGACAGGAATTGACAAAGTCCGGATCATCACTGTTTCGAAGCCTCTTTCGAAGCCTCTTCTCCCGCTACTCGATTCCCACGCTATAAGGACAATTCTAGTGCGTGACATTTGAATAATTTTCAATCGTGAAGCGGCAGATCGTGGCCTTCAAGTCACGACCGTCTCTTGGACAAACTCCCCACCAGGCTTAGACTCGCATCTTAGACTCATCGACACGGTTTGCGTCCTGGCGCCATTTCCCGCTTTCCACTTTTCTCCCATGAACCAGGTCCACACTCTGCGTGTCGACGGCCAATGTTAAGCCGACGTGCCCAGTATGTACTGGTATAAGTTCGGGACCCTGTTGATTCGATCCCTCTATAAGAGGCCTCTCCACGAGCCATTCGAGCTTGCACATACGCAAACATCCGGTGGCGGGTCAGAGCCCAGGATCATACACCAATCCAGGGATATGCAGAGGGCCGGCGTAGCTGAAGATACTGTTGTGAAGATAGCTGGACAGACTTGCCGTCCAACAAAACCCCGTCTTCAATGAGCATCAAGGTCATGAGGGATTGAACCCTCAATCGCCCAGACTGGTTCCGAATCGATCCACAAAAAAGTCTTCGACCTTCTGCAACACCTGCCTGTCACTCTGCTTCTTCAGTCGCGTCGCCTCCGTGTCCGGGAGCTTCCAGTTGTTGACACCCCACCACCACTTCCTGACCCTTGCGCCCAGGCTCTGGCCCTGGAACTTGGTCCCACGGTTCCAGTGACGCCATCCGAACATGAGCAAGTTCCACAGTATCCCCTGCGCCAGCGGCAAAAACACTTGGTCGCGGATGGTGATGAAGGCGACCTTCCAGTTGGTGTCCGCGGACTTGATGCTCGCGAGGTAGGATTGCTCGAAGCGGAAGTCGGGGATCGGGGGAAAAGACCGGCTTCGGGGACGTGCGCGGATGATGTCGCTGGGTAGGGTGGACTCAGAGCCGCTTAGGGAGTGTGAGCGAGAACGCGGGGGGGAGATGGCCTCGACTTCGCCGGGGATTTTCTGGGACGCGGCCGTCGAGGGGTTGATGTCGTGCTCTGGAGATGGATCGTGCTTGATGTGGGCGCTCTGTATAGTGGAAGCGATCTCGTTGGCGACGGATGCCATCTTGGCCGAACGAAGTTGCGGAGGAAGAGATCTTTCTCACGGGCGAGGCAAAGGACGATGGAGTTGGAGTTGGTTAGGATTCGTAGCCTCGCAAATCAAAGTTGAGAGAGAGCCCGTTGAGAGGTGGTGAGAGCTTGGACCAGGGAAGATATTCGGCTAAACTGATCAATGCACGACCTTTTGGAATGCCCCACACCGATTTTCAGTTCTTCTGGTGATTCTCAATCCTCACGACGAAAAACCCAACTTGATGCTGTCGACAAGGTGTTTGATATCTGCACGACCACGGATTTTACCCTTCCGGACTTCCTCTTCCTCCTCACTCCTTCGTACATTTTCACCCTTGTTTTCTCCGGCTTCATCGCTATCTCTGGGCCCTCTGCCCTCCCCGCTCCGCAACATGGCGACCAAATCCTTCAAGCTGCTCTGCTTGGAGAATCCCCTCCTAGACATCCAGGGCGTCGGGTACGTCAATAACCCTTGACCTGCGCAAAAAACCCCCCCGGCATTCCCTAGGCCTCATCATTGGTAACACTTAAAACCTCATGACTCTGTAGTGATCACGCCATGCTTGAAAAGTACGGGCTGAAACTGAACGACACCCTCCTGGCGGAACCCCACCAGATGGGCCTCTACGACGACCTCATCCAGAACCGCAACGCAAAGCTGATCCCCGGCGGTGCAGCGCAAAACACCGCCAGAGGTGCACAGTACATGCTGCCCCCGGACAGTGTCTGGTACATCGGTTGCGTGGGCGATGACGAGTACGCAAAGATCTTGAGAGAAAAGTGCAAGGAAGAAGGTAGGTACATCCGTCACACCACTGTTTGCTGGTGTCCTACACACCAAGCATGCTCTCCCCCTCGAGCGGATTAGTGACGAAATGGCCCTCCAGGACTGCACGTCGAGTACCGCGTCGACCCTGCCACACCCACCGGGAAATGCGGTGTCATAATCACAGACCACCACCGCACAATGTGCACGCACCTCGCCGCCGCCAACGAATACAAACTTGAGCACCTCCTCGAGCCGCGGATCTGGAGCATGGTTGAAGCGACCACCGTGGGCTTCTACGTCGGTGGCTATCACCTGACAGTGTGCCCGCCAGCGGCCATGGCGCTCGCGAAACACGCCGCCGAGACAAACAAGGTCTTCATGCTGAGCTTGTCGGCAGGCTTCATCCCCCAATTCTTCAAGGATCCGCTCGCCGAGATTCTGCCGTACTGCGACTTTGTCTTTGGGAACGAGAACGAGGCCAAGACGTGGGCCGAATCCCAAGGCCACCCCTCTGACATATCGATGCAAGAGTGTGCCAAACTGATGGCAAAGCTCCCCAAGGTCAACACAAAGAGACCAAGAGTGGTGATTGTTACGCAGGGCACAGACCCAACTATTGTGGCCGTGGCCGAGGCAGGAAAAGAAGAGGTGGAGCTCAAGGAGTACGCGGTGCCCGTCATCGACAAGAACCTGATCAACGACACAAACGGCGCCGGTGATGCTTTTGCCGGTGGCTTTTGCGCCGGTGTGGTCCAGGGTGATCCCCTCGAGGACTGTATCAAAAAGGGCCAGTGGTTGGCAAGATTAAGTCTGCAGGAGTTGGGGCCCGCGTAAGTCTTTTTGCTACCGTCGCTACCTAACCTAACCTGTCTCTAACACATACCCCCTCTGCAGATACCCTCGGCCGAAGCAGACATACAAGGCTTGAATGAAAGGTCGCTTCGGATTGAATGTTGCATGAGTTCGGCGTTCCTGTAATCCCTTTGAAGAATGTACCACCATGGGCGCTTTAACAGCGAGAAAGGTCTAATTCAACAAGACCTCCGGACAGTATGTCAGACATGATGCCACGTCTTTCACGACTTGTTGATATGGAAACTTGATGCCGAAAACTAGAGCCCGAAGTGGCATAAAAGGAGATCCCTCCTGAACCAGGAACGAGAATAGAAGCCAAAAGAAAAGAGTCAAGTTTGATTTGACCACCAGTCTCTCTTTGCCTCTCCTCGGAACTTGTTCACAAGCAAGGTTTCCCTGCTGGACCTGAACGTTGTCAATGCTGCTGCGTCCAAAAGTCGACGCAGATCCCGTTAAACGTAGGTCCGCATAGTTGTCCTCAAACTTTCTTCGAGCCCGGGAATGCTGTCACAAATATCAACACCAGTTGATTCCGACGCCAAGTTTGCAGGATCCGCAACGAGGCGACTTCTGAGGGACTAGTCAGTCAGTGTACGCAGGTATTCGGCGGATAGGAATAGATGCCCTCGTAGCGTTCCATCGATTAGATCGGCTATGCGATTTTGTCTAGTTCTCGCTCTGCTAATTGT